TAGATACTATCGTCTATATACCTAAAATAGAGTTCGTCTCTATCTGAAATAGAATTCCTAAAATCAAATTCCCAAAAGAAAACATATATATTTGCTGCGGTCAGCGTAAGCGGAGAGCCCATGGCTCCGCCTCTAATTTGTAAAAAGAATTGACCGTCTAAAGTAAAAAAGTTATTGAAGAGTACAAACCGGCACAGTCTGATAACCGTATCTATCGTTAATTTAAATTTTAATTGTTTATTGTACATAGTCAGCATCCTTCGGATCCTATTCAAGGTCTCTTCAAGAGGAATCATTGTGTATAGGTCTGTGATGTCGAATGTAATAAAAAATGTACCACTGTTCATTGTGTCTTGAGAGTATTGATGTAATTTTGAGACTAGTGTGATCGAGTTTTCAATTGCGTAATCTTTTGAGATTTCGTTGAAAATCGGTCTTAGCAATAAGTCTAAGAAACGTGACATTTGGACGGTTGGGCCTGTGGTATTAGATAATATCGGTCTGACTGGTATATCTGGTTTGTGATCTTTAAATAAAAAATAAAGATGTGGTAGAAATGTGGAATCATACTTTGGCAGTAATTTGGTATAAACTTCGCTTGGAATGTCTTTCTTGTAAAATAATTTTCTTAAGAAAGCTCTTGTTTTGTTCATAAAAAGGGTAACCGGGTTAAAATCAAGCGATTGGTAGGCTTTCGTTTTTTCCATGTGCTCGTCATTTTTCTTCTTCATCGTGTGAATGTCAGAAATAAATAACGTTTTGCTTTTGTCCGTTTTTCGTACGAGTGCTTGTTGATTCTTGATTTTTTGGTTAAGTGAGCGAATAATGGATATTTGTGTGGATTCGGAGAACGAATTATTGTAGTATGAACGACAGAGTTTGGTAGCGTCATCTATAAACGTTTGTGCGATATGTGATCGGTATGGTAGATGATTTTTGTAGCAAATCTCTTTAAAGTTTTGTATCATAACAGTAATTTCGTTATCCATACGTTGGGCTCCAATCCTATAATTAACTGGAACAAATTTTGGTCCTAAGCGAAGAAAACTTACCTCAAGTTCGTCCAAAAATAATGCCTGATTCCGGACGATTGGTGGATATGATGTATTGATTAGAATAGATTCGGAGGCGCGAATCGATCGAGGATTGTTGATACATCCAACACTTCTTCTTCTTCTGTTTTCGATTCGCGAACATCTTTTAAAATCTGTATTTTGTTCTCAGTGAAAAATGTTGTTCTTGTAAGATATCCGTTAGAGAACGATTGAAAAAGTGGCGTCATATCGGGTGCGAGCTCTTTTAATTTAGCCAAAATTGATGTTTGTATACCAGCTAGAAAATTAAGTTCTATACCCACTTTTTCGTAGATTTTGTTGTGCATTTTTTCTTTCGCTTCCGTACAGATCTGTTTAAAATCATCCTCGAGCTGTTTTATCACGTTTTTGTCTAATGTTGACATTATTGGTATTTCTATATCAAATCGGTTTAATATCGGTAGCGGTAGATTTAACGGACCTCGAGCGGCCATTGTTTTCGCCTCGACGTATTTCCTAGAAGAACTTTCAAGGTTGTCTTTCAACAATTGAAACTCACGTTTTGCTTCGCTTGATATATTTTTGTTAATTTCAGTGATGGCTTTATCAATGATTTTATCTTGTTCTAATATCTTCACACGTCTTTTGAGTGTGGCTTGCCAAGATTGTGTCTGTTCATTGATATAACCCATGCACTTGGTTCGTTGTGCCGATTTAATTTCTGACCACACTTCTATTTGTTCAGTGCTCCATATTCCACCTTTGTCGTCTCTCCATGCTTCATAATTGGCATCAATATGGTCGGCTTCTTTTTGTATCAGTTTATGATAATATGCCAGTTTCTGTTTGATGTACTTGATATGTACTGCTGAGTCGTGTGATTTCGTATTGCGCAAAACTTCACGAGCAATTATTGGCCATTCATTATCGGTAGCAAATTTCATATATTCATCGAATAGGTTGCGTTGGAAATTTGCTTTAGCTAAACGGTCAAAATGTACAATTAATCTGGAGAGATGGACTTTTGTCAAAGCGGACGAATCTGCAAAAATTCTCTCTAGTACAGCATGTTTAAGATACTTTGGTATTTTTGCCAGATTCTGATCAATTTGTTCAAAGTATATAGGGTTTTGTTGTTCGATAGTGCTCGAAAACATATCCTCATACTGGTCGTCTATCGTCCGTAATTGATTTTTGTTACGAACGCGGTTTATATCAGACTCATCTTGCTTTAGTGTAGTAGGTGGACGGGGTATATGCATTTGACCTAGAAATAGCTGGTCATTGCTATACTCATCCTGAAATGGCCGAGATGGCGGTACATTATTAGTTTGATGAGTCTTATTTTGATATACCAAGTTCGGATCATTATACTCTCTGTTACGGGCTTTATTTTGACGAAACTTTTTTTGTTTGTTTGTATTATATTGCTGATTTTGAACATTAGTGTTGCTGTTCATTGCAGTATTATTGCTAAATTGCTGATCCTGAAAAGAATTAGACATAGCATTTTTCTTTGTTGTAGTAGGATAGCCTAAAATAGGCTGCGCATAATTATTTTGTTGTTGTTGCTGTTGTTGAAACGGTACCTGATATTCACGAGGTACATAGTCATAAAAGACAGGTAGTTCGGGAGGATAATGACTGTTGTTGTTATAATATCCCCGACCTCTTCCTCGTCCGTTATATCTACCTCGGTTTCCTCCACGGAATGGTCTATTCTGATTCCGAAAAACTCTCGGTTGCTGTGGGTACGTGGAGTCTGAGTAGTTCGTCTCGTGACTCTTGAACCTGAACAGGTCTCTGTTGGTTCGTATACTGAGGTGTCTGTCGAGATTTATTGGGTTGCTGTAAGTACCTAGACTCTCGATTGTCACCGTCCCGTAATTGTTGTACTCTACTATAACCAGCGCTAGGTAAAACTCGCTGTGCGGTGGTAGTAGGTTCGACATAGTCAATTTCATAACAGCCGTCGCTATTATTCTCGTTATCTGAATCTAACTGTGCATGTACGTTATTTAGTCTTTGACCAGGTCTATGTTCTGGCCGTGTTTCCCATTGCTCATTTGAGGTACCGACTCTCTCTTGTCGTCCTGCAAATAACTTGTTCATTTCTGTAGTTTGATCGAATCTTATCACTGATTCTGTATTTAGCATGTGAGTCAAGTTGGTAGTAGTTCCAGTGCTACTAGCCATTTTTATTACAATGAACCGATGTTATACAGCGGATAGAACCGACTAAAAGAACTAGAAAGAAAATCACGTAGACTAAGTAGTCTATTTATTTGAAATAGAACTTGATCGGTGCGACGCGTTTCACCTCGACTTTCGAGGATCTTCAGGCGTTGATCATAATCTAGAAGTACATTTAAAATGATACAGTAAAAATGGATGACCTTGAAAACGAGAAACATATAACAACAAAAATGGCGGCTATTCCGCAAAGTATCTTGGCGCATGTAGATAGAGTTAAGGAAAGGAAAGAAAGAGACTATATATCGAAAGTTAAACAGTGCATATGTATTGTTTTGAATATCTTAATAGAATTTGAGAGATAACGTATCAACATGGCAGATGAAAAATGGCAAATTGATATCATTCTATTCTATGCCAGAAAATGGGGGCGAGAATATTCAAAAAAATAAATAAAATAAAATATTAAAAGAGAGAGAGAGAGAAAAAGAGAACAGAACTTTTTTCATAATGAATGATGTAATATCATATATAGTGATGCCATGACAAACAGAAAGAAAACCTAATTGACAGGTTATAGGTTATTCTGTTCTCTTTATCTTCCAGCTGTATAAAACGAAAAAACGTTAGAGATTGAAAACAAAAAGCAAAAAACTTTAAACAAAAAACATCAAAACGTGCAAAATGTCTAATAGTACCAATCCGCCTTTTCAGCCAAAAAATCTTAATACCGCAGTGCGTTTGCCCATTCAGTTACGTATACTAGATCCGTTAACGCAACACATCTGCGGTATCTGCAAGCGAAAAGTGGTGTATAATGAGGGTGGCTCTGTAGCATGCTACATATGTGATCACGTATTACATAAAGAGTGCTATATGTACTACCATCCCAATAATGTGGTTTGTTTTCAATGTGGGGTGAAATCCCCATTTATCGTCTATAGGTAATTAAACCAAGATATCATAGTTTAAAGCTGTTATCATACTCTCATATCGATATAATGTCGGTGGATTATCTCTTTGTAGGTGACGAACGATATTATAAAAAACCTCAAGGGATCAAGTCAATGTTAACGGACGACGATATGGTATAAACAAAGTGCTTAACGTCATTAGTCGTTAACGAATAACGTTATAGTTGACTTTAACAGATCATACTAATGTTAATTGTTTATTGTTTAAATTGAGGTTTTTTATATATAAATAATAATAAAGTTCGAACCGAGGCTAGGAAACGAAAAACATGATTGTCTTATTATATCGTTAACTTCAGCGTATTTTCAGTCGTAGTCGTCTCGTCTGAAAGTAATTCTGATTTAAATATAGTTGCGATAGGTTCCGAAATAGGATGAGATATTTCTGTCTTAGCTCTGCTGCATTTTTCTGAGATAATGTAAACGATTATTACGGATAAAAGTAAAATGATCAGAAACAGTGTAGTACCGATGGCGACTAATATTGTCATGTTGTGATGTGGAAGTAATTTATTACTGTATTTGTGTGAGAATTTGTCTGCAAAATCGTCTCGTAATTGTTTCGTAGATTGAATCAAGTTGTTGATCTCTAGGTCGGTAGGGGTCGTAATATTATCATTGATGATGATATGATCGAACGACGAGAGAACTTGTTGAGTGAGCAGATATGTTTTCAGTGAATCTTTTATACAGTGTCTTTGTTTGTTAATCACTTTTAGATCATGACAATCTAGTTCGTGGTAGCATGGAATGTCAACGATAGATGTTTTTTCTAAAATTAGATTTATTCGTAGAAAGTTTTGTGTATCGGAATACCGTGTATCGTACATTTTGCAATGTAATGAGTACGGGGTCGCGATAATGTACCGGTTTTCGCTTAGGTAATAGTGGACTATCTGGTCGTCTTCATATTGTCGAAATTGACAACTGCTGATAGAATTGTTTTCTAAAAATGACTTAATGCAGGGACTGGCGATGTATACTTCGATGGGAGGTGTAACTCGACACGTCGTAGTACTGCCGAAATCACAGATATTGTCATTTGTTAGTACGATGAATTGATTGTTTATCAGATTAAACGCCAGATGAGTCGGTATGTTGGAGATAACCAGACGGTTGTATTGACCCGGTATCGGTATTTTGATGAAACGAATTATCCGAAAGAGGTTTGGTAGCGTAGGTAGAAGAAAAGTGTTACTAATCGTGAACATATCAGTACCGTTAGATCTCATTAATCCGCCTTGTCTATATACAATCATCTGGTTGATCAGCATACGATTGAATAGATCGAAAAGCGAGATTGTGATTTCTGTATGTTTGAGATTACGGTAAATTTGTTTATACAGTTCACTAAATAAGTCGTCTAATCGTACCGGATTACGGTATGCTAATGAAACTCTCCCGTGATTAATTTCGTTAGCCGAAGTGTATAATTTGTCTAAAAAATTGCTCATTACCATCATATTCAGCTCAGTGACTAATCGTTCCCGTTGTGTTGAAAAAGAAGGAAGGGTATCCTTAAAACCTCAGCGAGTTATATCACTTTTTATAGAAAATAGGTAGAGTTTGTGAAGAAATCAGACATATTCTGAAAGTAGAGATCTGATACAACCCATACGTTAAAAGAAATTTTGTTTAGACATTTTTCTATCAGAGAAAATAATTAGTCTTTAAGAGTTTTCCGAAAGGATGTGTATAGTAATTTACATGCCATGGTGGCATCCAGCTTTCAAATCTGTTGAAACTTTCAGAGAATGTTCATCTATATAGGACAAATCTACTCAATTAGCGCAAAATACTGCGGTCGCTGCTGAGCTGAGTTACAGGATTTCCAAAAATCCATGGTTTTTGAGATAAAATCTATTTTGGGTAATAGTAAAACATGAAGACACCCACAGACACCTACAGACAGCCACAGACAACTGCACAGACAGCTCACAGACATCCACAGACAACCCAAATCAGCTACACAGACATCCACTTCTAAAGTTGCACATAGAAGGTGCATTGACAGCGATATTGACAGCTCTGTATTTCAAAAAGTAGACTGTACCCTTTTCTAAAAAGCAGCTCAGCATAGAGCAACAACCGTTTCTCTAGAAAAAAACCATCGAATTTTGATATGATTTTTATAAATCAAAATAACTCATATATAATATCTCATTAACCTAGATGGAAGAAACATAACAAATAAGTTTCTATAACTTGTGAACATTACAAGATGAATGAACTATTTCGATTGAAATATATAAGTTAGTGCTTTTCTTGTTCTATCCCATTGTCTAGTGCAGCGCGTATATAGAAAAATGGAAAGCGGTAAGATTAAAAGAAGAGAAGACTGAAAGCGGTACATTTGATCTCTACAGTTCAGCTATATTTTCTTTTTTCTTTTGCTTCTGTGCTCTAGAATTGCCATTTAATAAGATTTCTGTTCTGTAACTGAGCAACAGAAGAGGATTATAGTTACTCAAAATATCTAGAAAACTCGATAAACACGTTCTAAAACAGCTCTAAATCATGAAGAATCAGGATAGACGCTGTCTTTTATTCGAAACAATCACTTTTGTTCAACAGCGCTATGTTCAACGAGAATGAACGCTACTCACTTTGCGCCACCTATAAAAGTAATTATCTTTGCAACCGTTCACACTTTATTGATGAAACTTTCCAAAAATGTTTAACTAATTGTCGTTATTCATTACCCAAAATTTCAGTTCAATCCGTCTGGCGCAAAAAAAGTCGATTTTTTCAGCTCTCTCATAATGGGGTTTATCCAACCAACAACGAAAAATGGTTGACTGGCTGTGGGTGTTTATTATTTTTCTCTACATCCAATTTGCTTTTTTCTCTCACCACTGCTTAGAAAGCCACTCTTTAAAAGTCACTGAATTGAAGTAAGATGCTATTTTCGCTGTCGGCTCCTTCTGTTTTGCAAACTAATTATGTCAGTTAAATACTTTTTCTTGACTCGTCACGAAAACTGCTGCTTTTTGTTTTATAGATGTTTCCAAAACAGATGCAGTATTCTAAGAAAGTTAATATAATGTGTGAAAAAATTGTGTTTCACTACGTTGTAGGATATATTCTCAGACGTG